AACTAGTCACAAAGTAGCCGTAGACTAGCTCTGGATAGAGCTTAATGTTATAATGCTTTAAATATAGCAAGCATAGAACGGATAATTAGTGGTCTAGGTAGACAATCTTTGATGTTTTATTCTCAATAATGCAACTAACTGTAAAAAAAATTGCAATCGAACTCTTATACGAACACTTTTAATTCCCAACCATCTGCAGTGCTAGACGATGGTGAGCTGTAGACTTAGCCGCTACAAATTTGAGGGCCAGAAATTTGGTTCTAACTAGTCTAAGTAATAACTCACGTGGGTTCAAACAATTGCTTTTGACTAGATGACACGGAGTTTTAGGACCAAACCTCGCGTATACGAGTATACTTTATTTTTGGATAAAATTTCCCCGCGAAAACGTGAGGGCCTTATACGTTCCGGGCGCGGAAGCGTCCTATGGGCCACTGGCGGCCAGAATCGCGGCCAGCCCGGACAGTGTGAGTTGCTAAAATGCTTTGGGTGACGAACTGTGGAAATGCTCCTTAAGGGAGACTGTCTGACTTGCTGTGAGCGCGATTCCACGGGGAACTGCAGATGAAACGATAATGCTCATTTAGTAGAATGCAGACTGCTGATTCGGTCAATCAGAGTACTGAATATTACCCAATTCGGCATCGTTGCTACATTGGCGTGCATACGCCCCGGGTAGGCTATCGATTTTGTCGCTGAGTTTTAACTCATTAACGACTGAAAACCACACATGGATTTCAGTTTATTATATAATTAATTAATTAACATATGTTTGTCTTATTTTAGTTATGCGTAGATCGCATTTGGGTTTGAGAAAGTAGGTTTTGGGCAGTTTGACGAATACAGACACATTTTTACCTTTTCTTCTTGACAGCAGGTTTATAACCTATCAAGCTGAGCCATTTTGGTCGACTACCTGAGGACATATTTCTTCAGGGAGCCGAAGTCTAGGGTGATGACGATACACACTACGCTAAGGCACCCCAAATAACCACTCTGAGACAGATTCGAAATCCACAGAACTAAGCACATACTTAATTCTGATACATAAAAACAAAAGGTAGATATATCATAGGTTTTATACGTTAAAGTAAAAGTATACTCTCAATTGCAAAATTTACACAAAGAACAATTGATGGACCCAATTCTACAAATAGTTTTTTTCTGCATGACTCTGCAAGAAA